TTACTCAACTAAACGCAAATCCGCTTGGTAGGATTGTGCGCCTTAGGCTTAGCTACCATCTCGAAGTTGAATCAGTTGTTAAGATGGTCTAGAGAGTGAGAACCATGTAAAAACGTCCAGCAGCCGCATAACTAGAATGATAGAGGAAGTACAAAAACATTAGGGCATAGGAAGTTGGAGTTGGGGACTTCAAGAGAACCATGAGAGAGAAGGGGTTCTCCAAGAGCTAGGGAAGGATGGTAGGAACCTTCCTAGCAGCAAGGATGCAACCCTCATCATGAGGTCCTTGAGGTGTCACATGCAAAATCCAATCTAGTTGGATTTTGCCTAGGTGTTGCAACATTTGCAACCCATGCTAGAAACTTCTAGCCACCCCAATCCAAAAGTCAAAGTTGCCTTCCCTAACCACCCAACCAAAGATCCCTTTATATTCGTGTCCCAAGTAATCACCCAAATTAGATGTAACCCCAAAAGGTAATAAGAAATCCAAGTCTTGGAAATCTTGTAACTTGGGCGATCTTGGTCGGAATAAGGCGATCTTGGTATCGTTGGAAAGCTCTGGATTTCTCCTGCATGATCAAGCATTTAGACTTGGAGAAAAATACAGAGATGACAATATCCAACAGCCATGCATAATGACATATGCTCATGCAAATCATGCAAGCACAAATAGCACGAGCACTCGGCAGGACATTAGGATGACATGCACTTAGAATCACGTGCATCCAACAGGCAGCATGGCGCGGCTCAGCAGGGCGGCGCGGCACGGGCGGTGCATCGTGGCTCGGACGGTGCAGCGTGGCTCGGGCGGTGCCGCGCGGCTCGGGTGGTGTTGCGTGGCTCGGGCACGGTGAGGCATTGCGGCACTGGCAGCAGCAGCAGCGTAGCAGTGGCTGCAGCGCTGGCAGGGCGGGCAGGGCGCTTAGGGCCGCGCGCTGACTGTGTAGGCAGATCGCGGGTAGGGCGGGTTTTAGGGGCAACGCGCACGCGACGCCAGCGGCGTGCGAGCAGCGCGCGAGCAGGGCGTGCAGTGCGCGGGCAGGGCGCCGGCTGTGCACGGGCAACGCAGGCCGCGCGTGCGCAGGAAATGCAGCGCGCGGGCAGTAGCAGCAGTGCGTGGGCAGCGCACGCAGTTGGCGGGCAGGGCGCGCGTAGGCCTAAGGAAGCGCGCTAGCTGGGCAGCGCGAGCGGGTCACGCTAGGCAGCTGTGCAGGCAGCGCAACGGGCAGGGCAAGCCGTGTAGGGTATTGCAAGCAGGGCAGGGCAGTGGGGTAACGAGGTATTCGTAGTCGGAATGGTGGGCCCGGAAAAAAAAAAATGGTCCTACAGTCCTTCTGCTCTACAACCATGTCAGAATGAGAAGCTAGAATGACTGCATTGAAAGAATTGTGGGTACAAGTACTAATCCTAACATTGGGTTGTACCTCATACAGGCTACCCCACTATAGCCTACACAGAACCAGCACATATATAATTTGAGAACACCTTCCAGCTGCACGAGAACCCAAACGAAGATTACCCAACCCTGAGCACTCATGACGCGTGCGTCGATCTCTGCGCCACGTTCGCCGAGACGCTTGTGCGAAACCTCAGCAGGCGGTTCAAGGACTTGGACTCCTTGGTGGGCGTGAGGCTCTTCATGCCAGACGAGTGGGAGCTTGGGAGGGCGGAGCGCCACAAGCAGTGTCTAGAGTGCTCATGTCACTTGTGACGCTGTTCAGGGCACAGGAGACTGACTACATCATTCCAGGTATTCCCGTTGCATACATTCATGCTGTCCATGAGGTGCTTTTTTGTAGGTTAAAACTGTATTATGAACAGGTATGCCATGCTCTCTTATCCCCTCTCTCTCCCTTCTTTCTAATCTGGCAGGGATCGACAAGCGGCGGGCGATCAAAGAACTGCGTACCTTCTGCCCCATCCTCGCAGGTGCCCCGAAGAACAATCGCACCTTCCACGCTGGGCTAACTGCAATACTGAAGACAAGCGACTGGACGACAAGCTACCCCAACCTGGTGCGTCTCTGGGTGGCTGTCGCTGTGCTGCCGCTGAGCACAGTGGAGTGTGAGCACGGCTTCTCACGCCATAATGTTATCAAATCGTGGCAGCGGGGGAGCCTCAAATACGCCCGCCTTGAAGACTTGATCACGATGTCTCTCCTCGACTACAAGCCCGACTACGATGAGGTGATGCAGATCTGGCGCAGCTACAAGAAGCGCCGCCCATTTGGTAATGTGGCAGCAGCTCCAGCAAGAGAGGGGGAGGACATTTGCAGTGGCAAGGGAAAGGAGGCAGTTGAGGAGGCGGAGGAGGAGTTGGAAGAACCAGAGGCTAACTGCTGCAGTGATGATGATGGTTAAATGAACTCTCTGTTGCTGCTGATGCTAGCTAGCTTGCTTGCTTGCTAGTAGCTAATGTTATATTTTAAGGGACCTTCAATATCGTAACAGCCTTAGCAAAAGGGGAACACTGACGCATCAGACTTTTTGTAAAGGAACACTGAAGTTTCAGGGTTTTTTTTGGGGGGGGGACACTATCGATTAAGGATTCTACATAGAGGGGCCCTGATGCATTAACGTGCCTAAAAGTGAATCATAGGCCCTGGCCCCACGCCTGCTGTGGGTGGCTCGGGAGAGGTGTGCCGAGGATGATGCAGTGGAGAGGCAGAGGAGGCGAGAGTAGTATGGTAAGGAAGATAGACAAAAGGTGGTAAGCTAATTCTTCTAAAAATGGCTAAATCAGGAATGCATTCTGTAATTCTGTTCTCCACCTTCTACCTACTAACCTAAACATGGTACGGTAGTAGAATCATTCTTGACAATGACACATACTCAGACAATCAAATCCAAGTCCGTTACAACCACACTAGCTAACATTCCTTCCAATCATCGAATCAAACTCGCTTCACAATCACATTCGCTTGCATCAGCGCTTGACGCATCCTGCTTGACAACTTGTCTTCCTCCACCTTCAACCAGCATAGCCGGGGAAAGCTCTCAAAAACCCCATCGACTCCAGCCGCAGTAACCCTCGTACACTCCATGAGAGCAAGTTGTTCGAGCGTTTCAATATGGCAGCTGTGAATAACTGTGTCTGACAGTCCTCATTTTGAGATACACCCGATTCCTTCAAAACAAAACACGCCTGAAGCAAGGCCACCGAACCTTCTTCCCCTAGAGCAGAGCTGTTGATAAGAGTCAGTTTCCTCAAATCCTTGAATGCAGCCTGCCACTGAATGCTGCCAAGCGCCTCATCAATGCTTGCCAACGAAGTTTTTGGAATAGGAAGGCCACTTCGGGCAGCACTGTTAAGAGCGGCGCGACGACAATAGAAAGCAAACCCCCCAAGCGTCAACGATTTGAGAGGAGGATGGAGTAGCTCGGCAGACAGAGGATCATCCCTATCAAAGGCTTCTGTACCCATCCTCTTGGGAGAACCCTGGGGCCGAACTAGCATGTGAATCAGGCCTTCTAGCTTGCCTTGAAATGAGTGAAGGGTGGGCGTCTCCAAGCAGCTGAGATATGTAAGAAGAATGCGTTGGCATGTGTCGAATGAGGCAAGGCTGAGAGTTTCCAGCTGCTTGCAGCAATCTAGCATGGCATTGACCGTTTTCCGAGTGGTCAGATTGAGTTGGAACGAGAGCGAGCGGAGTGCCGGGTTAGAGCTAGCAATGGCCTGCACACCTTCGTCAGTAATGTTTCTGCATCCGACGACTGACAGGCCAGAGAGGGAGTGAAGGGACCTTGCCAAGCCCTCCAAATCAAGGTACATGATATCACAGGAATCAAAGGAGAGCGTGGTGAGGCTGGTAAAAGAGCTGAGGGTCACGAGAGAAGAGCTGACACTTGAATACATAAACATGAGTGACTGGAGTGAAGGAATGGAGGAGGATCCAGAGGTAAGAGTACATAGTATGGGATCAGTGATATTTGAAATGGTCAAAGAGGTGAGAGAAGAGGAGTGTCAGATGGGAAAGAAGGGGTCAGAGATTGAAGAGCGGTGAAAGTTTCAAAAGCAGAAAATATTATGTGTGGTGTGTTGGAACCGCGAATCTCGAGGGACTTCAAGAACCTGCAAAATACAGCAATCATAAGCGTAAGGCAGGTAACACACAAAAAACTTATTTAAAAGGCTCACCGGCTGTCTTGACCAAACTGTTTCCTCCCAGTCGTGGTGACACGGTCACACCCGAACGCAGAGAAACTTTCCAGTTTTGGGCATTTCCAGGAGCTCATTGCCGAATCCATTTGGTCCAAGAAACCAGGTACATTCGGCAGTCTTACTCCGCATGCGTAGATTGTTGATGCACGGGAAGATGACGGCACAATCACTTAGGTCTGTCAGAAATTTATGGAAAGAGCCGTTAAAATCGAGGTAAAGCGAACGAGGACAGAGCTTGAGGAAGTCCCGAAACCGCGTGCAGGTGAGAGCCGCATGACAGCGATCGTCTGGGTCATCGAGGAGGGAGAGGATAGTAAGTAGAGTGTCGTCATCGCGAAAAAGGAAAGCTGCGAATTCTGGCCCCCAAAGGTTTTTTTGCGTTGGCCTTGCGAGAAAATTGCGGAAAGCTGCATAAAAACACCACACCCGAATCGCAACTTTTTGCACATCAGAAACGCACATCTTCATCGTACACACAAAAGTGACTTGGCGGTAACTTTTCCACGAACATGTAGGAGACTCGAAGCGCACACCTACATCTCGAGTCGCATTTGCGGCTCCCATTTCGTTCGAACCAAAATCCGCGACATAAGTATGCTGCTTCGTTGTTTCCGTCAAAATACAACATGTGTGTGCAATGTTAGGGTGCTCATATCCACATTAGCCAAAACTACTCCACCAACTCAAAATAAAATTGCACACACAATAACAACCACAACACCAACATAAACAATGCGTCCCCCCTACGTATGATACCCCACACAGTCAACTCCCACAACCAAACCCCACTACTGCCAGACGCATCACTGGTCGTCATCACTCTCCATAACTTCATCACTCTACAGCACTTCTTCGGCTGTCCCATTCTCAGCTCGCCCCCCTGCGCAAGCCCTCTTGACAGGCGTCCTGCATAGGCGGGAAATCACCTCCTGGTTCGATGCTCCGACCTCTGCTGGCACAGCCGCCGGGGGGATGTCGAGCTCATCGGCACGCTCCACGTACGCGTTTGTGACGTTGTGTATCACGCGCCTCCTGCTGCGCTCGTCCTGCAGCAATGGGCCGTCTGGCAGACTCATGTCGCCCGATGAGTCATCGGACGCGCTGGCAGCAGGTGTGGCTCTGAACCCCTGTTCCACGCATAGTCCCACGTCGCAGTTGATAAAATCCGCGGCCGTCATGTAGCACGCATGCCTTACCTTGAACTTCTCGATAAGCAACTGCAAATCGACGCATACCGAAATAATAGGCTCGAACATGCCGGTTGCGCACGTGTCACCCGGGTACACCATCAGGGGCGGCCAGCTCGCCGGCACGCATCCTGCGCGCCACCAGCTCCGCTGCATGGTAGCCGCGCGCACACGAGTCCACGCTTCTCCCAGCAACTCGAGTATGTCGTTATAGTCAACATCAGCGATGGAAGCCGAATAGTCGAACTGGAACCGCTTGGACCCTATCGCACGCCTCATCAGCATAACGCGGTAATACGCCTTCAGCGCGTCACCCACTCCCTGCAGGTGCGGCAGGCCCGTCTCCGGAACCGATCCACGAATGTTGACGACTCGGGTGTTCGTGAGGTGCTGCACACTGAAGCCGTGCTCCGTGACGGGCGGCGCCACCTCGTCTGTGATGCGATGCGCCTTGTAAATGGTGAGGATGATGGTGTTGCAATCACGGCTGAAGTGCACACCGTTTACGGTCTCCACAAACTCCGTAAATACCTGTGTGCAGTGAATCAAACATAGCGAGCACGTCACCAACGGCCATTGCGGTACGCAAATACATCGGAGATGGACGCGCTCCTGATGTACTCACACGTGCTATGCACGTCCAACCATAAAAATGCACACAAAGTCCACAGTCCATACCTCCGGTGTCAACCGCCCGCGGTTCGTATACCGAACGGCCACCTTGCGCGATGCGGCGCTCGCCCGCCGGCGCTCGGGCCTATTGGATGGCTCTAGCACCACCAGAGGCACTGCGGAACAACTCACCGTCGCGTTGTAGAGGATGCCGACGCTAACGATACGCTCCACCACATTGCGCTTATCCGGAATGTACGACTTCGGCAGCCGACTGGGAAGAAAATTAATCTCGTGGAAGCAGAACACGTCATCCGGATGTGCGGTAGCAAGCAGGGCCTTCAGGTCACCCATTGTAACACACTGTCACTCTGGTATGCAAGTATGCATTGAAGTGCACACGACCTCCTCCTACATACGTTTCATTTGACCGTAACGTACCCCCGGCTTGCCCTTGCACGCACACTGTGTACAGCAGTTGAAATTGGCCACACAACCAACCGACCACATTCCCTGCGCCGCACTGAGATAACGCTCTCCTCTGATACGACCACCTGTAACGCCCACATAGGACATCCCGCCCCCACGACGCCACGTACGCGTCACCCATATCCAAACAACCAACTGCCTGAGACCACGAGTGTGCACCACCATACATTGTGTTTGTGCAACCCCGACCGCGCAAGGAATAAGGGTACCCGTACGCGTTATACGATTCATAACTTAACCACCATACTGCACACCTATATCTGATTGAACGTCTTATCTTCTTAGCACGAGTGTATAATAACATCACCGCTGGATACCACAAGTTCCATCCAACCGCGCCTCTACACATAAAGAACGCACTACGCAGTGATTTAGGGTTTAAAATCCTGAGCTGCAACCACTGTCTCTAAACGCATTGCGTCACTCGCATAGTAGAAACCTATTTACTAGCTGCACCTTTTTGTTGCTGTACGAAGGGCACACGTGCACCACTCTCTGCAGGCTTTTCAGCTCCACCGCCGAGAACCTCACATCCTCCACTGTCTTGTGCAGCTGCGTACATCTCGTGAGGTTGCAGCTCCCAGCCTTCTCATAGTACCTCACATATGCGTACCCCTTCCAATCCCCATCACGGTCAACCGCCCTGAAAATGCACAGAAATTTTGCATACCAGTCCCCACCCTTGTCATTGAGCAGCGCCACGTCCGAATACCACCTCTCTCGGGGCGACGCCTTCACAAATGTCCCTTTGGCCACCAGCTCGCCGCCTCTTGTGCGCGGAATGGCCACCGCCGTGTGGACCTGTCACCCCATCCCCACCAAACCAACAACACGTGCACATCATGAGTGCGGTGAGCACCATCATGTAAGACTACAAACGTCACATGTCCGCCACATTGTAATCACTTCACCTGCACGCTGTTGGTAGCCAGACCCAACGCCTTAAACTCATCAGCCAAACCCTTCATATCGTCTCCCAGCGCGGTTATGTACTCATCGTACACTGGATCCGACGCTCCGCCAATCCGCATTGTCCGATACTTCTTCGTGAGCACCGGTTTCTTCGTCATGATTGCGTGCACGTACCACACGCATTCGCACAACGAACCACACGGTGTTTGAATCACGCCTCCACCCCGGTGTACGGTGTACTCTGGACTACCAACACTGGGCATCATCGTCGCCAAGACCCCCTAATACACCTCACGCAAGGCGCACGCATACTGTCGCCCATCCCCAGCGTCCGCCGCCACCTCGCGGTACACCTCGCGCTGCACCTCCTCCTCCACGATTCGTCGAGTTATGTCGCTCCAATTGCTCCCTCTTACTGGACCCTTCACCGTGCCCTTGTGCGTGCACTCCCACATTTCAGTTGAATAGTGTTGCGGCATCCCACGCTCCTTCACGTTGTCCAGCAAATGTCTTATCATGTGTATCTTTGGGAGCTTCCAGTGGGATGCCTGCGATGGGAATGCCTTCGGTAGCAACGCCACCAACCTGCACCGGCACCCTTGACAAGGCACAATACTGGATGCATCACCGTATTTGGCGACCTCAAAATAGCTGTGCAATCTTGAGGCATAGCCTCCCATAAATCTTGTTGACCCAACGGCGTGGGGTATACAAGTACTCACGCTATCGCATGCTGCCGAGCAATCGCAATTGTCGTGTGTGTGTGTCTGTCAACCCCCAGAAACGCCTTGTAGAACACGGCATACATCCGGAACGCCTTGCCCTGCAAAGCACGCAGCTCTCCCTCCGGTCCATCCTTCAATGCACTCTCGTCTGCCACCAGTATCGGCATTATCTGCATCATGCTCCTATGCTCGAACGCCGCGTAGTTTGCGCCACAACTAAAGAACGATGATCCCCCAGGGATACGGAGGAGAACACTTGGAGTGAAACGCTTGAACTCCTTCTTACGGCTGCGCACATACATAGTACGATGTCGTCATCCGCTGACACACATGGGGGCCTAGACCCCACCTAAATCCCTACAAAATATAGTTGGCTACCGCTCTCACACCCGACTACACCTAACTCACCTTTCTAGCAGCCGTATCTCAACCTTTCCAAGGGGTTCAATGTAGGAGTCCATCATGTGGATCAACACACCGGAGTCCAGCACCTGCAGTGTGTCTGCTAGGCATGCCAGGTATACGTTTCCCCACTCTGTGTCTGCGAAATTCCACCTTTGAAGCACGCACTGCAACCATCCCACTGACGACACAGTGTTGTCAAACAGTCCACATGATATCCAGCCCCCATTCATTACGCACCACCAAACCGCGCACCAGCAAACACACCTCGATCGGATGGGTTGACCATAACTTCCGCACATCGTCTGCCTCGCCCTTCTTCTTGCACGCCAAGATTTGACGAACAATGTCCCTCTGCTGATCGGGGGTCCATGGATCACACTTCCCCACCATCATGGTCAACTCCCCCTTCACAGCATAGCAGTTAGCACATGGCCGATGCAATCCTTGCTACAGAGTTGCGGAGGCTCTGCTGGATTCCGCGAAGTCGGCAGGGTATCCGTACAGGCAAGGGACCGCCTTTTGCACCTTCCCGTCCACGTCTGTGCATTAGAAGAAGTGTACTGGCGCGCTGCATAGTGCTGCAATGCACACATAGTGTTCACTTAGTGATGGATCGTATGCATATCTCCCAATAGCACGGCTACTAACTGGGGTGGCCCCCCTTCCCCACCCGTGTATCGTTATCATCCCCACCCCCATCCCTTCCCAGTACCTGGCGGACACTCGCATGATGGGCGCGAGTATTATCTTCAGCGCCTCCAGAAACACGCGCGTCTTCTTCGTGGGCGACGCCCATTCAGGCGGGAATGGAAGCACCGCCGCAAATGTGTGCCCGGGCTCCACTCCTCGCAATTCTTCGGGTATGTTGACAAGTGATATCACAACAGGCCACGAGTTCCTTCGTCCATTCCGTGATGCCTGCGTGCTATCGCTGTATATCAGCACGCCTAGTGAGAAAATGTGAACAAGGATGAATGAACTATGAAACAGTTGGGTACAAGTACTAACCCTAATTGGGTTGTACCCCATATGGGCTACCCAACTACAGCCTACACAAAAGCATAAGCTATGATGTTCTGACACACCCCCATAGGCAAAGTGGGGGAGAACAAGCGGTCACAAGACCAGTCAAGCAAAGCAAAGCAAAGCAAGCTTAGGGTGGATCACAAAGTCACCACACATTCCGAGCACAAGTTCAAGGCCACAAGGCGAGTTCACATGCATGAGTACATATATATAGAAAGCTAGACAAGCAAGAGCATGTGTATATATATGTAACAGTACAAGCAAGGTCAAGAGGTGAGTAAGTGAGGCAAGACAGGCACAAGACCAAGCTGAGTACAGAAGCGCTGATGATCACAAGGCGCGAGTGCCTTGGTGAAAATATCAGCAGTGTTGGCCTCAGAGGCCACGTACGCAAGTCGCAACTGACCACGCTGCTGCAACTCACGAGCAAGAAAGTAGCGGAGAGCAATGTGCTTCGTTCTGTGCTTCAGGCGCTGCTCCCGACACAAGGCTAGCATGGCCTTGTTGTCTACGTACAGCACCGGAGGAGAACGAGGCGGCTCTCCGAGGTCAGTCAGCAGGTAGGTAAGCGAGCGAAGCTCCTGTGCAGCCATGGCCCCTATGTAGATCTCAGCCTCACAACTGGAGCCGAGAACAGAAGACGAACGAGTAGCCCGCCACGAAACAGAGCTGGAACCAAGACTGAAGGTGTAACCCTGTGACGACCGCTGCGTAGCCTGGTCGTCTGCCCAAGAAGCGTCCGCGTGCCCAGTGAGGACCACTGGACTCCGCCCTCCAAGCACTAGCCCCATGCCCGACGTAGTGCACAAGTAGCGCAACACCCTCTTTGCTGCAGCCATGTGCTCTGGTCGGTGTCTCCCAGGAGCAACATAGCGTGCAAGAATGCTAAGAGGGTATGCAAGGTCAGGTCGTGTGCAGGTCATCAGGTACATGAGGCAGCCAACAAGCTCTGGGTACGGGCCACTCGACTCTACGGACTCATCCGAAGGCAGAGCTGAGAGCGAGTGGCGAGTAGACAAAGGAGTGGCCTGAGGTGAGGAGTACGTGAAGCCGAAGCGCTGAAGGACCTGCTGCACCATGTGTGACTAAGTCAGGGTAATGGTGCGGCGTGCTCTGTCCCGGGTGATCTGCAAGCCAAGGTAGCTGCGCAGTTCACCCAGGTCTGTGCACGTGTGTCTCTTCTGCAGCTCCGACTTCACGTGGGCGAGTCCAGCAGTGTCAGCTGTGGCAAAGACCAAGTCGTCGACGTACACGAGGATGTAGAACGGCGGCAGAGAGGTGTCGGTGCGTAGAAACAGCGACAGGTCAGTAGTAGAGGGAGCAAAACCAAGAGCCGCAAGTGTAGTCCTCAGTGTGTTGTGCCACTCGCGCAGTGCCTGGCGGAGACCGTAGACTGGCCGTCGGAGGCTCCACTGGGTGCAAGGAGGGAAATTCCTAGTGAAGACAGGGGGACGGCGCAACCAGATCTCGTGCAGGCTACCCTGCAGGAAAGCAGTGCTGAAGTCAAGGGAGTGAAGCTCGTAGTCACACTGAGCGGCTACGTGTAGCAGCACCCGAAGAGTGGTCATCTTCGGGGTGGGAGAGAAGGTCTGAAAGTAGTCAACTCCCTGCCGCTGACTGAAGCCACGAGCCACGTACCGCGCCTTGAAGACAGGTGGAGAGCCCGGCGGCCGCTTCACCCTGAAGATCCACATGCCACTGACGATGTTCGCCCCAGGAGGGGGAACCGCGTCAACGTAGGTGCCTGTGGACTTCCAAGAAGCCATCTCTGCATCCATAGCTGCCTGCCATTGAGAGGAGTAGGGACCCTCTACGGCCTCCGCGTAAGAGCGCGGAGTCGGGATGTCTAGTGCATCCGGGTCTCCCTCAGGGGTAAGCAGTACGGACGCGAGATGAGGTGAAGCAGTAGCCAAACACTGGAACTCCTCCTGCCTGTCCTCAAGGACGTCCGTGCCAAGAGCACACTCACCCCCGACGGACGCAGGACAGACAGACGCAGACTCAGCAACAAGACTAGCAACGTAGTCTAGACGACAGCGAGCAGCAAAGTCGACAAGCTCAGCAACAAGAGCAGACGCAGCAGTGGACTCAAAGGAGGGGTCAGTGACGACAGTAGCAAGGAGACGCGTAACAGTAGGACTGGCAGCACAGGAAGAGAGGACTCAGGAGGAGAGGGCAAAGGGGCACGTAAAGGAGCATTGGACGGACGCAGAGACATCCGGTGCGTGCCAGGGACAGGAGGAGGACGCTGACGCAAACTGCGACCACTAGTGCGAGCAGCACAAACAGGCAACGTAGGATGAGACGCAGGCTCACGACGCTAAGCAAGACCTCCAGTAGGACCTGTTTACGGAGAAGGAGAAGGTAGTGGGGAGACCGGTGGTAACTGTGACTGCGATTGGACAGGCGGTGGACACTCTAAGGGAGGAGGAAGACCAAGAACCTGCTGAAGGAGCGGAACAAAGTACGGCCGAGGCCGTGCGGCGACTCCAGA